ATCTTAGCTAAGGAGCCTGCTCACACAGTAACTTTTAATGTACAGTCACAGAAGTTGATAGCAAATAAAAGTGAACGTAACTCCCTCACATAGACAAGTTGCAGTTTTGATTTGCAAGAGAAATTAATGAAGCAGAATCCAGCATATCAAACATGCTCAACTGCTACTCCACACTGTTTCAGTAGATTCCAGTGACTAGAAGTCAGTTTTAATCAACACCATCCTTAAGGATGGATATTGACAAGGGATTCTGCCAGTTATAGTTCTAAATGGAAAAGTAAGCATCTGACCCCCAGAAATGACACCAGCATTGTCAGAAAGGGATTTTTTTTTTTTAATGAAAGTACTGTCATTCTAGTTGTGTATTATGTACATGGAATTGCTTGTCACTTTCACATGTCAATGGCCCCAGTCACCTAAAGAAATTTTTTCCCTGCAATTCCTAAGGGAATTGACAAATAGTCAAAATCCCATCTTTGCAACCAGTGACAGAACTTTTTTAAATTGCTGTTCCAAACTGTGTCCATGATTTGTCAACACAGATATATGAAACTGTCAAACACTATTAGCATGCTTGTATGTAAAGATACATTTTAGAGGCCACAGGCCTGAGCCAAGCAATTTATTCCCAGAACATAAGAACAATGATGGCTGGTCAAACTTCCATTTTGAAACACAGAACAGCTTCACCAGATCTTTATGATTTGTTCACACATAGTACTTTTCAGATAATTTGAAAGTTAAGCATCTTACACATACGGTAGCAATAACAGGGCTTGTTTAACAAGATGCACTGCAAAGTATATATTATCTGATGTCAGTAACATCACTTTATTAGCTGAATGTTTAAGGCCTTCCATTGGAAATCAGAGTGTATCAGATGATATTTCAGAGACTAAAAGGCATTCAAATAATAAAATATATAATATTATACAGAACATAAATTTGATAAAATATCCTGACCAGAAGACAGCTAAATTTTTCCACTCTGATAATTTTCCTCAGATTTCATGCAGGTACCAAGGACAGGTGGTTTCTAATTCCTCTTTACCCTTACTATAAAAACAGAAAATCAGACAGTTCAAAGATATGGTATTATCTATTTACTCTAACAACTCTACACAAGTCAAAGGTCAAGACTAGTACTAACTGAGAGCTTGTCTGTCAATGAAACCTTACGTAACTTCTGCTTTCAAGGTGAACAGTGATGTAGGAACAAGTAAACTGTAGGTCAGAAACCAAACATCAGTTCAAATGATCTAATATGAACTGCAACAGATTTGAAGCTGTTACAGTGGATGAAGGCACAGAGTTCTTCAAATTCAGAATTGCATAGCTGCCTGCCTTTCTAATTGAAATAGCCAATTCTAAGGAAAAAATTCTGTGTCTCATAACGAGATGCTTACTCATGAAGTAGAAATGAGTAATTCTCTCTCGTCACACACTGTTCTAGAGGAGATTCTTGTCTAAACACAGGAAGAAATGGGAAAACACAATGGGGTTGACTAAGACTGCCACAAGCCAGTAGCCTGATGCTGTAAGGCTTCACACACCTCTAAGTGAAATAATGGCAGTTAAGTGTGTTAAAGAGCACTGGGCTGACTCCCCTTGAGTGTCTCAATACCTGTTTCATGGAATTCATGTACTACAAGGGAAATGTAAAAAAATATTTTGCTTTGCCATCATTGGACAGTCTCCACTTCTACTAATGAGTACTTTTTAACTGGTGTGCAAGTTACTAGTTTTCCTCAGTTCCTAATGAAAGGTACTTTCACACTAAGCAAAAAATGCCTTGGTCTTAATAAAGTCACACATTCATTAGCTTTTGATGAATGCCTGCAACTCCTCTCCTCTCCCCAATAATCTCTTTCAAGTACCCCCAGGCTCTAATCACAATATTCTCAGTAATTAAGGTCTTGATTTTAAATTTGTTGAAGCTGCCTAGAGAGATGTTCTGATTACCAGTTGAACTTTAGATACTAACAATTTGAGGATTTCCCTTGCTTTCTGGGGGAAATTTGTCAGCAAGTTTCAAGATGTGATGCCAGTTCAAGTGTTTTGGCCATGTGACAAAGATTTCTAATTCATTCCTTCTGTTCATAGGCCTAAACAGCAGAGTAAAATCCTCTACAGAGAATATCTGGATGTTTTATTTTCCAGCACATCTTTTGTATTTTCTCTTGGGTTCTGGAACCATGACCAAGGTAGGAAAAGTACATGGATAGTTTACTCAAGGAGATGGTATTTAGTACCATGTAGCTGTCACATCAGATCGACACTGGTTTAGTAATTAATTCCTTCCCACAACCAACACAGTTTCTTCTAGAGTTAGCACTGGGAAATCAGGTTTGCAGATATGAAATATACTTACAAAATACACATAAAAATTAAACTCCATTTCTTATCTCCCTCAAATTTCAAACAATTCAGTGAAAAACTGGAAAAATTTATTAAATACTGACTTTTCTCAACAACATTGACTCTAAATGAAGGGAAAAGTTTTTAAATAGAATTAGGGTAACCTTCCATGAAAAAAATGCTTCTGCATTTTAAACTTGGAAGTGCATTAGCATTTTGAAGTACAGCCTACAGAGAGAGAGGCCCTTTGAGAAAATGACAAAAAATAAAGGTAGTTATCATTAAATGGCACAGACTGTCAAGGAAGTTGATCATCTTGCACTGCAAGACTAGAAAGTTCATCTGTAAGTATTATTCACCAGAAAAAGAGGCAAGAGCCAATAGTAAAAAGAATACTTACACCCCAAACTGACAGATATCACTCATTCTTACTTCAGCCTGTTTGTGACTACCATGTCTTAAATACAGCTTCCAAATCTTTACTGTTACAAGAAACATCTTACTGGTGTGCATCACAAACTGCATCCTAATCAAGGATTATGAACATCAACATGTGTGTATTACCTCAACAATGGTCTATGCACCAAAAAGGCCATTCTGAAAAATATAACTAATAACCAATACAAATCACCTTAGGAGAACTTTAGAAAGATGAATGAATGGCATGAAAATCGTTTTCTATTTGGTGCTCAGCACTGGTTTACAACCAATATCATACTATTTGGTATTAAAATGTACAATGATACCACTCAAATACATTCAATATTAACCACAGTATTATCTTATTAAATCCACAATGTTCAAGTACTCTGTGCTCCAAAAATATGAGACAACCAACTTAGATGATGTAATGTACACAAGGTTCCAGCTGATCTCCCATGCTTATCCTTGTTGAAGATGGTTTTTCTTACTAAACTTAAAAAAAACCAAAAAACAAAACAAAACACATGACTCACCCAGGAGGGCTCTGTTCCTCTAAGCTTTTTCTTAAATACAAAAATCCAGTAACTCCCACTGCCTATTCTCCTCTGAACAGTCAAAAACTAATAATAATTTTAAAAAGCATGGAGAGTGGAGGAAATCAGTCCACTAACATCACTTCCCCAGACAGTAAACCTGCCCAAGCTATCTAGAGAGATGACTCCGCACAGGACAGGACAGGTTCTGAAGCACAGTGGTGGGAGGACTCTAAATGTAACAGCCATCTGGACATGATTACAGGCAACCTGTTCTAAGTGACCCTGCCCGAGGAAGAGAACCTCCAGAGATCCCTTCCAACATCCACCATTCTGTGCTTCTGTAACAGACATTTCACAAACTCCAAGACCTATATGAATGTTGAACGGATAGGTCAGAACAGTAACATTTCAGGGAAGGTGCTGTTATCCCAGCTGGCAGCTGAAAATAACCAAAGACGTGGTACAGAAACATGTGCTACACAGGCTGGTGCCGCATAAGTGCCTGCCCTGCTGATGTTGTAGAAACAGAACATGATTGCTAGCTGGTCATATCTACAGTGGGACTAAATATAAAAGGCATTCAAAGAATGAAGGTTGTTACATATCTAACAAAAACACAGACAGTCACACCCTCTTATTTCTACAGAACCTAGACAACCAAAATCTCTCTAGGTTAGACTACATCTTTGCTCATAAGCTGGAAATCTCAAAATCCAAAATAGCCATAGGTAAAATAAGAGAAAGGGTGGTGACAAGCATATTATGAAAACAAGAGGCATCCAATGAAATTTGAAAGTTACAGTGACAAGCTCTGGAAGAAAGAAACGTTTAATTGGGTAGACATTAGCTTTCTATTGTAATTGGTATGTGCCACATATGTATCAATAGAATGCATTATATGGCTGGTCAGGTAAGGAAAAGAGAGAAGGTTTTCTACCAAAGAATCAAAAGAAACAATAGCGGGAACAAAAAGGAAAAGAGTCGTATTAAGTGAACACCTGAAAAATGCAGGGGAGAAGTTGGTACAATTCAAGCAGCAGTAGCCAAAGGTGGAGCGAAGCAGCTAGAAAATAAACCTAGAAAAATAGTTACCACAAGAGCAACCTGACATTCAGGATGGCTCTGTCATGCAGTTCCCCTATTTATGTGGGCAAAGCATATTACATAACTGGGGCAAGGAACAGCCCTAATTACACTGCAGCTCCACCTGAATACAAAACAAAACCAAGAACACGATGCTTTTTGATTCACTTTGACAGAACTGACTGCCAGAAATACAGTAAACTTTTTTTATTTTTTCTCCTCCAATCCGCACTAGTTGCACAAATCACTACTTTGGTAATTCAATACAAGAAAATTATTAACATCACCTTTGAGGTTAACAGCTCTTTCTTAGAAAAATACATTTAAATTCAATTTTACCTTTACATGACACAATTATAAGTCACTTATTACTGAAGAATACTTTATAATTGCTAGTTAGACTTCCAATTGCAGCATTATGGAGCACACACATTTAACATCTTCAGGACAGCTTGTGTTATTTACTAAGTCTGTTAAAGACACTAGATAATGAAAAAGCATATAGTAAGAACACAAAAAGTAAGAATGAGAGACACGAGCTTACCCTCCATAAGAAAACAAACTGTGCATCTGAAACTATGCTACCTTTCAAGAGCTTACCTTCTTCTTGTCCCTCATTGAGCCCTTCCCTCGGACCATTATCTTGCATCCTGTTTCTGCCTCAAGCTGTTTAGCTGTTAGTCCTCTGGGCCCAAGGATTCTTCCAACAAAGTTAAACTGAAAAAAAAAATAAATATTTCTATAAAAGCAAGTAAACAATTAATAAAGAAATTAACAAGATGTATTTCTGTCTCAAAAAATATCAGTGTTTAATGCTTTAGAACACCACAGTGTTCATACCTGAGGCTGAAGAATGAGGCAAGTACTGCCTTCATATATCAAATACCTATCTGACCCCAACTTTGGGGGATACAGGTTTCAAGTGAAACTAGGTCTTTTAAATTTAACATTGCACAGTGTACAGCAGTGGTATTCCTAATTTCCTCCTCATTATATTCTGTGAGCTCTTAGAGCAACTACAAAGCATTCTCCCTCACCACTAACGTGACCAGATATGCTCATCCGTAGGCCAGCAATGTGCATTACGTCATGGAAACACACAGGGCCTGGTTGCAGGACCACACACAATTTCCATGTGATGGAACTGCTCAGGTGCCAGGTGCAGGTCCAGTTCCACAATGACACAGGACCTTCAGGAAAGGCCTCTGCACCCACTATTTCATTGCTCCCTGCCCACAGCTAATGAACCTGAAAAAAATCATTCCTTTTCACCATTCCATTCTGTTCTGGTGGGCTCAATCTGGGAAGCACATCTAGAGAAACCCTTCTTTACCTACCCATGCCATAGCATTTCCTTCATAAAATTAAAATGGGGCTTCTTACCTTACATTCTCACTTTAGGTTTCATGGGCAACATTTTTTAAAAACACTGGATTGTCATATATATATCTACTTGTATACACACACACACACATATATATAAAATATGTACATATATAAAAATACATGGGTACATAAAAACAACAAAAACGCATCACTTTTTGTAAGCTGTATAACTTGCTCAGTTGTACATTCAAATAAAGCAAGTATATTTCATGTTTAATTGACTAACTTCATCAGACAGCCCCCCACCTACGCTTAACACAGTAATACCACCCATACATAACACTATTTCCTAGTTATTTTCAAAGTTTTTTTCCCTTTCATTATTTTCAATCACACGTTCTGGAAGTTATGACCCAAATAAAAAAAAGGCACTAAGTGATGGCAGCATTGAGAACATACAGCAGTACCCTGTGACAACTGCAGCGCAAAGATGAAGCACCACGCTCAAAGGATAGATAAACTAAGACATTTCAGACTGAACATTAAATTCAAAGAAGATTTTAAGAGACCAGGAACTCTGCAGTAAGAACAGAAGTCTGAATATTTTAGATCCTGGTAAACAAAGCTATTCAATTGAATTGTGAAGAAGTTGTTGGTTTTCATTTCCTCAGCTAATTAAAATTGGTTTGGAGTACTACAATTCAACATATTTGAAATCCTTATGAAACTGCAAAGACCAGAAATGATTTAGGAGTGAGTAGAAATTACGAACAGAAGCAAATTAAAGTTTTTCAACAAAAATAACCATGTTTCACAGTGGCTAAACTATTCATAGGGAATACACACTCCCAAAGTTATTTAGTATTGCAAGCTCAGAAAACAAACACATATTATGAAGTCTGAATCAACTGCCAGGGGGTGGTGGGGTGTGGAATAATGACTAAAGGAACTTGTGAACATACAAAAAACCTGTGAATCAGAAGAAATTAAGGAATGCTAAGACTGGATAAAGGAATGTACTAGCTACAAGCAATAAAGCTCAGCTGCGAAATATTAAAATCTTACATGTTATACATTTCACATTTTATATCAAAATTATACTGTCTTACAGAAACAGCATCTTACTTGCTTTTCTCCACAACTGTGCTTCCTGCACACTAAAACTTTAGATATCTATGCCATTTCACCAGTAATGCTAAAATAATATTGCAAACTTGACTTTAAATCAGTCTTTTAACCAACACACATATTCTCTGTCTCCCAAGAAAAACAGCAGCCTCTAATGTTTTATGATTTTTGATTATGACTAAAAGAATAATCAGTCAGTAATATAATTTGGATTTAAAAATTTAAATAGAACAGTATAGTATACGAAGAAAAAAAGGAGGAATCTGTATTACTCTCAAGGTTGCAACTTTATTCATGTTGTCTGAACACTATTTAGAATTTCTACTTGAGAAACCACCGCCTTAAACTGCAACACATTCTGTTAAATGTTACGCCAGTTCCTTTTCCAGAACCTTCATAAATTGTTCCAAGGCAGCACAACCCAAACTGTATGTAGAAACCTTCTGAATATTTCTGGATAGCTATTCCTTCCAAACCTCTGATCATTCTCATTACCTCTCTGGGGCCCTGCAATTTTTTCATTTCTGAAAACAGGATGCCTAGGCAAGGCAGTTCTTCAACTGAGACCTCAACAAGGTTAAGTTACTCAGAACAATTATCTTATAAACCACATTCTTGCTTTTTTCCCCTCCCTAAAAATTCAGTTCTTATGTTTGTTTCAACATGCATTGACCCCAAATATTGTCCTTTACCTCAGCCTTGATAGTTTTCCCCACTTTTGTATTTATATGCAACTCTTACGTCCTCCCGGTAACAAGGGGGATCTATATTTATGTAATGAATTCCACATTGTTTACTTCAGGCACAGTAGTTTCAAAAGAGTTTTGAATTTTACTTCTACTTTAAAAGCATATGATATGACTTACTTCTTTTTTTAAGCGTATTTTTTAACCTTCCAACCAAGTTTTTCTTGAATGTGAATTCTGCAGGACCTCATCTGAAGTGCAGTCTTAATTGACTCATCAGTAATCAATTATCTTAGATTAAGCCAATTACTGCTTTAACAAATGATCCCCTAGCTTTTGTACATGGATCACTGTCAGTATTCAGTTCCTCAGACAACCATCTTAAAGTCCTAGTTCAGAACTCATTGGAAAAAATAATTCCGACTCTTTGTCAGAGGCACAGAGCAGTGACGAGTAAAACCACAGCTCAGGAACACAAAACAGAGTAAGTCTTCTCCTTGGCCAGTCTCAAAAGTTTTGTCAGAATCTAACTGTATCCACAGCTACTGCTTCTCTTACCTATCAGGCCAGCTAGACTATCACACAGAATTATCAGAATGAGACATCTGACAAATTCAAAAGACCATTCTTAACATCTAACTCAATATTTCTCATGCTCTTTTATCTCTCATCCAATCATACTCTCTATCACTTTGTGTTTCCCAACAAACAACCCGTGTTAAGGAATACTGCTTGTTCTAACATTTGTACAGAGTCAAAGCTAAGAATATTTCCCTTTAATTTCTGACAACTTTCTCCACTCTCCGTTTGGCTAGCACTGTGGGATTCACCTTACACCCAGAGAATTGCTAGTAAAGAAACAGCACTGGTTCAGAAATCAATTTGACCAATTTAAGACTGCACTGCTTTGAATGTATCTGAACTCACACTACATAACAACTCCAGCTGCATCAGAAATCCCCTGATAAAGACTTCTTGTATTCCCTATATATAGAAAAACTATTTCCTAAGTAGATCGGATGCTTTTATAGTCCTATGCCTCACTAGCCCCTACACACAGAATAAAAGTCATAAAGGAAAATAAGAATGAACTATGCTAAAAACTCAGATCTGCTGGTTAATAAAAGACTGCAAAGAAGTCTGTCCGGTTTTTACAGTACGGAAAAATGAAGTGTTTAAGGAACTTTTATTAAAGTTAAAATGTGAAGAACTTGAGGTAGTCCAGTACTACTAAATTTCATACTAATATTGTGACTTTTGTATTTGTTTTTCCTTGGAAATATGAAAATAAGATTTGACAATATCTAATTTAACCGGTGGAAAAAAAATAATCTTTACTTCATTACTGCAGATGAATTTTTAAAAAATCTAATTTGATTGAAATATCCAAATCTAGCAAGAAAGAACATAACCACATGCATTTGATTAAACATGTATTTAACTCAATTAAAAACTGATTTATTCTACCATCTTATTAGCAAATGTTCCAGTGATTTATTAAACACTGACTTTGCAAAGTTATTTATTTATCACTGGACAAAAGTCAAAACAAGCTATTCTTGAAGTCTATTTTAACTTAAGGAAATCAAGAAAACTCTTAAAGCTTTTATGTTCCTTAGGTACAATGCACATTTGAGTACTTTTTATACAGAGCCTAAACATTATTTTACAGAAAGTCTCAAGAAAACCTCAATAGTTCCTCATTATATCAAAAGATGCTCTACACTTTATGTTGACTTTAATTAAGGATACTTTAAGACATAATATTGAGCAACTAAATTCAGAAAAAATTCTAAACGGGCAAAAATGAGTCCTTTCTTTACAAATGATTCCTAACAAATGCTTTACAATGTGTCTGTGTTTCTAGTAATCTGGCATTTGGTCTCACCTTCTGATCTCCAACTTAAGAAAAATCACATAAATCCTAAGATTTCCTTAAAAAACCCACTGTAATTACAACAACTGGATACTTCTAACCATAAATGTCCACTCTTGATGATGTTATTTAATTCTCAACTGCCTGCAGAAATCAGCTTCAGTATAGTTACGTCATATATGAAAACAAGTTCTACATTTTGAGATAACCTTTACATTTCATTAACTCCTTTTTTTTTTTTTTTTTTTAACCATAACAGGACATAAAAACTTCAGGCTTCTCAATCAGTTAAGAGAGCAGCCTAACTCTTCCCTTATCCATATTTTATCCCCAACCAGTTACATATTTGATATAACTCTGCCAGCTGAAAGTGGATTTTCATCAAAAGAGAAAACTGTACTTTATACTCAGCCTCCTATATAACCAAGTCAGCTTTAAGACTGCATACTGATACATTTAACAAACTAAAGTGTCCCAAAAATGTGGTTCAAAATGTCCTGGTGGTTAGTTTGCTTTTTAAAGACACGGAGAGCAGCCTTTCTTGATCATTCCATTTTCATATGATTTTCTCCACCAAATAAAAAGCATCTAAAGACCAGGACTGTGCATGGTTCAAGGGTTAAAATATGCCAAGGTTAAAATGCAACTGAAAACTGGATGTTATAATGGAGAATATCTGGCAATTTTATCTTAAGCAGCAA